ACATGTTCTCTTACTAGACAGATCTTTTCGACGTGGTCCCTAGCCGACAGGGATCCTTTGGCGTCGCTAAGACAAGATAATATCTATAAGCATATACCTTCTGAAAGCAATAATCTCATACTTTTACCCCGAAAATAATCAGATAGCCAATTCATCCAGTTCATTAATTAACTCTAGGTCTCATGATGGAACTCTTGAAACAATTACCAAGAAGAATTGAAGTAGGGAGAAGAAAAAACAAAATAAAAATGGATACGGAGTTCTCACATGGATGGTGAGCAGTGCCACAAGAAGAGGGCGAAATAATAAACAGAGAGGTGAAAAGAAAGGAAATTGAAATATATTTAGGGATGTTTGATTGGCACAGAAGAATAAATTATTGAGCAAGAACTGCGGTTGAACAGACGAACCAGCAGAGAAGACCTGAACTAGGCGAAGAGTAGACCTGAAGACCTGCAGTTCATACGCGCAGCCTTTCAGTCGAGCTAGTCTGCTCAGCTGGCAATAATATGTGGCTGAGCTGCAGCTCAGTAATTTCTTATACTATTTGGCGTGGACATTCTGTAACCATGAATCGCGACGACTTTGCATCAGCTTGCCATCATGACTTCGTGAGATGGGTTCACGGCCATGTGCGTCCAGCGTCATCTCTCCCGGCCAGCTCCAGTGTGGTACACCGACGAACGGGTCCCACGGGCTAGCCCTCCGCGTCTCCGTTGCACCCTGCTGCTTCACCTCGGCCCTCGGCCGTCGACAACTCGACAATACTATGATGTAGTGGGCTAAATAAAGTACTGATCCGTTCCAAATTATAATTTGTTTAGACCTCAAGTTTGACTATTCGTCTTATTCAAAAATTTATGTAAAATAACACTTTTTTTGTTGTGGCTTGTTTTATTAACAAAAGTTCTTTAAGAATAACTTAAATTTGACTATGTTTATATAAATTTTTTAAATAAGACGAGTGGTTAAACTTAGGGTCACAAAAGTTAAACAAATTATAATTTAGAACTGAGGGAGCAGGTGGAACTGCGTGCAGTTCAATGGCCTAACGTGTAGCATGGACAAAAATAGCTAGCTGCATGGCCCTTTCAGATGCAACTCGAGAGATATTTTCATCTATCTACTTACAAGGCTTTCGCCTAGGCCAGTGGATTTGGATGGACCTAGCCACCTACCATGCCATTACGCCAATCACTGTCGTACTCTTCGAACTGGTCGGCTAGGTGTAGTACATACGTGCAGTGTTCGCATCCTTGCACAAGGGATTTCGGTGTGACGTGGACAAGCTCCCGGCCACTATTGTCATCTCCAATGTGCTAAGCGATTTTAGGGTGCATGTCCGTGAACTCCACCGGAAGCATGAGCAGGGCATACATAGGGTGGGAGACTTCAGTTCCACGTTGATACTCTCGGAGTGAGGCCAATTAAATAGTTGAGTTATCTCTGTCTAGTTGAAGCTATTGAGGAGAGGAAAAAGAATAAACCCGTGCGCTAGCTTGCCAGGCCGGGTAGAGTAATGGGCGTGGACACGCGACATACACATGAATGGTCTGACGATTTATCACTTTCACCTTGCGGATTATTCTCGCATTAATGGTGATTTCTCTAATTGCTCTAGTCGATTAATGGCAGGTCAATCATCTTAATTAATGTTGTGATTACGCGGCTAATTACTTACTACAGCTGCAACGCATGTATATTGGGACCAGACGCGTTGTCCTTAATACAAACAATTCATCTCGTCCTCTTACCACTATGCTGTGCCGCCACCATCTTCCCCATCCCGTCGCCGATGTGTCATCGGTGCCGGGAGGGTAGGTCTCCGAAGGCTACGTCTCCCCGTGTCCCTGCACGGGGTAGAGGCCGTATCAGGTTTCATCTACTTTTGCGCTATCTCTAGTGTCGACAACCCCAGTGTAAGAATATCTACACTTTCTCTGATGTTCGTTCTAGTATTTCTTCTGTTACTAGCAGAGGGTAGTTTGAGTTTGTTTGCCTTAGATTGCAGTGCTAGTGTTAAATCACACACCTATGATATATGTTGTTGTTCTTCACTCTGTATCGAAATTAATTTATGTGTCACTAAATTGCTATTATTTCCAACATCGGCCACAATAGACCAATGGAGGAGGTGATCGAGACATGGACGAGTTCAAGATCATTTCCATTAGACCTCCTAGAGCTGGTTTACTTTTTTTTTAAAACGAGGTATAAAAAAATCTGCAGCAATCAGTGATATTAGGATTTGAAAATTTAGATTTAAAGTTGTGACGTCATAAGATATTGGCTTCAAGTAAATGTAATTAAGATACACAAATGTGTCCAGTAAAAGAAAAAAACTATAAATATAGATGGAAAAAAATCACAATTGGATAAAGACCACAGAGTATCTATTATGCATGTTGTGTAGATAATGAATAATGTGAAACAAAATGCAATTTAATATAAGTAAATTTTATTAGACAAATGCATTAAACACTCTTCTAATTTTCTAGTTCATGCGAGAACACCAATTGCTGGAATAAACTAAATACATCAACACCATGCAAATATACAGCGGAATGCACTTGACAATATCGTTGTTTGGAAGCCAATCCATTAGACTATCCTACGGTCTTAACCTTTTAACCTTGCAAACAATCGGGAACGTCTCCTAGACCATTATTCCATTCTGCTAAAAACGCAAAAGAAGATTCTTCCACTCAACAAGAAAAGATCTCGTTCTGTTCCAAGAGAAAAATGAAAATCAACAAATCCTTAAACATCTATCTGCATCTATATCTACACCTAATATTAGAAGTGTCCCCTTACTCTCATCTATAATTCACTCTTTGCACTTTAACGGGTGGCAAATATAGACCACACATCCTTGACATGGTGGGATGGGATGGTTCCGTCTCAGTTTTCAGGGGCGGGACCATCCCATCTGTTGTTTGGTTGAGAAGGGATGGGATGATTCTGTTTTCTGTTTGGTTCTGGGACTTCAAAAGTGGGATGAGCTATTGAAATATAAGGCCCACATCATCAGATTTTTTTTTCTTTTCCCTTTTCTTTTTTTCTTTTTTCTTCTTCCTTATCCTTTCTTCTTCACTCTTCTGTCTCGGACCACAAGTCGCGACCCCATTCTCGCTGCCCGGGCCTCCGCCGGCGATCTCCACGTGCCTCCTCCGCCCTCCGCCCACGATCCCGCACCTCTTCCGCCCTCCACCCGCGACCCCACGCTGGCTGGCCGGGCCTCCGTCCACCGGAGTCGGCCCGCGCGTTGACCTACAAGGCGGCGGCGCTCGCCCCAGTCGGGTTCCTCCGCCTTCAAGCTCCTCCGCGCCTCGTCCTTCTTCCTCCCATCCTCTCCCGCACGCCGTGAGCTAGCGCACCTTCTCTCCTTCTTCCTCGCCACCAGCCCGCTCGTCCCATTTGGGCTGACCCTGTCCCCTCGATTTCGTGGGACGGGGGGCGTCCCGAATCTGCCGGCATATTCCTCGCAGGGACGGACTCGCCCCTGGCTGCCTCTCATCCAAACAACCCTTATCCTAGGATCATCCCAGTTGATCCCCTCAACCAAACAGACGGTTACTCCCACTCTTCTCGCTTTCACCGGTGGCAAATGTAGGCCGCATCGGTTATAGTTTAGGGCTACAAAAACTCCAGTGGCACCACACCACTCATATTGTGGTCTGGAGCCACAACTATAGTCACTTACATGAGGCATGCGCGAGCATGTGGCTCGATTTTCACCTTCTTTTAACTTCACAATAGGTGCACACATTTAAACACAATCGATCTCTAGTTAATTTTTTATATAAGATTAATTCTTCACTGCATCTACCACTTATTATGGTATTGGCATTTATTTAATAATTTAGTTGAAATAAGGTCCTGCCAAGCCTAATTAAATCTAACAAAGCTAAACAAGTTCATTATCAATGCCAGGGCTGATCCATGTGACCACTGCCAGTTGTATCTCCGGCCAGTTGCAATGCATAGCATGTGTTCGCGAAAAAAATGGAAACGTTTGACTGATATTAAGATGCATCCCTGTCGTCCTAGCCTCGTAGGTCCATATACGGCGGACCCCTTATAACTATTGAGCGTTGATCCAATAATATTCCACGGCACGAATAAATATCACACGGAGTTGTAGGTGCGGCAGCATCTAGGCTCTGCGCTTCGATTTAAGGACCAGGTTCGGTGTTGGGCCGTGTGCGTCTTCGTCATCGTCTTTACTCTCATTTTGCTTCCGCGCTGCTGCTAGCGCTCCTCGCCTCCTCCTCCATCCTCTTCCTCTCCGTCGTCGCTTGGATGACGAGCAAATTCTTCGGTGCCTCTCCGGTGAGTCTTTTCTTTTCCTTTTCAGTTTTATTTACAATCTATAGCACACCAAATCGACCGATTGTGGTTTCGCTTGTCGTTTTTCCTTTTCTATATACTCCATATTTGGTTGTCCGACGTACACCTACGTAGATCTTTCTCCATGCATGTGGATAGATGGGTACGATTCTTCTAATGTTACAAGCCGATTAGCTAGAGAGGATCTGTTGGCGCCAGAGTGGCTCCGACGCTGGGATCTGGCCGGCACCGGCGAGGTCCGGTGCGCGGTCACCACGGGGAACCGCCGAGAACACACGCGAGAGCACGAGAGTGGACACGAGTTTTTTCACTGCAAATGGCGCAGCTTTGTTTTGATGCATTTCATGTTCATATATGCCCGGCGTGATCCGCATCCCCCGCCACGACGTGCTGCTGCATGGTGCTCCTTATCTTTCGAAACCCGTGCGACAAGCACGGCGAGCCCGTCATGGCGGGACAGGCATGGTGGGCGCGGTCAAAGCGCAGAACGTGCAAGTCTCCGTTCTGCCCCTGATTCTACGCGCGTAATCAAACATGTTTACAACTGAATTACAATCGTGTAAACTATCCTAATGCACCTACATGCTGATACAAATTTTGTTTGACATGATTACAAAGATGCAGTGCAACATTTCACCCCCTTAATCTTGTCAAACTTTGACGATCCCCAGCTGCCTCCTCATTTCAGCAAACTGAATTCTTGCAAGTGGCTTTGTTAGAATATCTGCTAGCTGATCATCAGTGCTGATGTGCTTCACCTCGACCACCCCATCTGCTACACATTCCCTGATGTAGTGATAGCGTGTGTCTATGTGTTTGGATCTCTCATAGAACACTGGATTCTTGCTCAACTCCTCTGCTGACCTGTTATCAATGAACAATCTGAATTTCTTTACTTCTTGACTGCACAGTTCTGCCAACAGTCTGCTGAGCCAAACACCCTGACAGGCACCAGTAGCTGCTGCTATGTACTCAGATTCACAAGATGACAATGAAACCACCTTTTGTTTTTGTGAACTCCAAGTTATTGCATTTGAACCCAAGAAGAATAAAACACCTGTGGTGCTCTTTCTCTTCTCTAAATCCCCAGCATGATCACTGTCAGTGAAACCAGTCAAATCTGAATGTGGCCCTTTGACAAATTTGCAGCCAAGCTTTGAGGTTCCTGCAACATATCTCACAATCCTCTTTATAGCTCGCCAGTGCTCTGAGTTTGGACACTCCATAAACCTGCTAACCATTCCTACAGAGAAGGATAGATCAGGCCTAGTATTCACCAAATACCTCAGGCTACCAACAAGACTTCTGAACTTAGTTGCATTGGAGACCAACTCTGGCTTGCCAGGCAACAACTTCAAGTGTTGCTCCATTGGTGTGTCAACAGGGTTACATCCCTTCATCCCTGAGATCTCAATAATTTTTTCTGCATAAGCACTCTGACACACAGTGATCTCACCTGGTTTTTGCTTCACCTCCAGTCCCAGGTAGTAAGTCAACAAGCCAAGATCACTCATGTCAAAACTTCTTTTCATCTGTTGCTTAAATTCAGCAATGCTCTTACTGTCTGGCCCACAGATGATGAGGTCATCAACATAGACCCCAACTAGGAGTAAGACTGTGCCTGTCCCTCTCATGTACACTGCATGCTCTTCACTGCATCTGATAAAGCCCAAATGCTTCAGTTCATGATCAAGCCTTGCATTCCAGGCTCTTGGAGCCTGTTTGAGCCCATATAGAGCCTTCCTGAGTCTAAGAACTTTCCCAGGATGTTTTGGATCAGAGAATCCTGGTGGCTGATGTACATACACTTCTTCTTGCAAGTTTCCATTCAAAAATGCTGACTTAACATCCATATGATGGACCTCCCACTCCCCTTGTGCTGCAAGAGCTAGTAACACTCTGACAGTTTCCATCCTTGCAACTGGGGCAAAGACCTCATCATAATCAATGCCATGTACTTGTGCATATCCCTTCACCACCAATCTGGCTTTATATTTCACAACATTGCCAGCTGGGTCCTTTTTCACCTTAAACACCCATTTAAGACCAATGGCCTTGTGATCCTTGGGAAGAACGGCATATTCCCAAGTCTTGTTTTGTTCTATAGACTCTAGCTCAGTTTTCATAGCTTGTTTCCAGCAATCTTCATCAAGAGCTGCCTCAACATTCCTTGGCTCATCTGCAGCTAGCATGCAGATCCCACTGTACTCAAAATCATGTACCTCATCTGTTGAATCAAGCAAATCTGTCAGAGTTCTAAACCTCTGTGGTCCTTCTTCTGAACTTGCAGAATTCTGGTCTGGTGGAGTGGCCCACCCATGACTCTGAGATGCACCGCCATGTGGGGTAGCTGGTGAGCTTGGTCCAGCTTGATCTGACCCTACTACATCCCCATGAACAGGTTCATTGTCACCTTCTGCAACTGCATCCTGAAACACAGGATTTTGCTCCGTTGTCGGATTTCTGTTAGTCTCCTCATAGTGAACAATGAAGGTTTCAGTCTCCAAATCTGAGTTGCTCTGTGTATTGTCCCAATTCCAAGGCTTGCCTTCATCAAATAGGACATCCCTACTCACCACCAACCTGCTAGTGGAGGGATCAAACAGCCTATAGCCTTTTGTACCTGACTCATACCCAATGAATACCATTCTGGTGGATCTGTCAGACATTTTTGTCAGGCCAGGGCCAACCACCTTGACATGAGCCACACAACCAAAAGTCTTCAGATGGCTCACTGTTGGTTTCCTCTTGTACCAAACTTCAAATGGAGTTTTATTTTTCAAACTCCTAGTGGGTGATCTGTTTAAGATGTACACTGCAGTAAACACTGCCTCACCCCAAAATTTTGCAGGGACTTGCATTGACTTCAGCATGCACCTAGCCATCTCCACCACCATCTGATTTCGACGCTCTACAACTCCATTTTGCTGTGGAGTATAAGGAGTTGTAGTATAGTGCTTGATCCCTTGCTCATCACAGAGAATTGAGAACAGATTAGAGGTAAATTCTCCCCCCCTATCTGTTCTCAGCCCTTTCACCTTGCATTCAGATTCTACCTCAGCTCTTTGCTTAATTTTCTTGAAGCAGTCCAAGGCTTGGTCTTTGGTTTTCAATAATTCTACCCACATAAATCTGCTGTAGTCATCCACCACTAACAGAAAATATGAGGCACCACCTGGGGTTGGTGGAGTTATGTGACCACACAAATCAGCATGCAGCAGCTCAAGACTCTTTTGTGCTCTGAAATTTGAAGCTTGTGGGAATGGAAATCTATGTTGTTTCCCTATGACACACCCATCACAAATCTGCTCAACCCTGTCTACAATTGGCATACCTTCTACCATTCTTTTACTGCCAAAATCTCTAAGTGCTCTGAAGTTCAGATGGCCAAATCTGGCATGCCATCGCCAAGCTTCATCACTGGATTTTGCTAGTAAACAGACAGGTGCTGCTAGACCAAACTTGACAGTGTACAATCTATTTGCAGTTCTAGGAGCAGAAATCAACAAAGTGCGGGCTTGATCATAAACACACAGTCTCCCATTCTCAAGAACAACCTTAAACCCTTTCTCTTCTAACTGACCGAGACTGACTATGTTGCTTTTCAGTTTAGGGATGTAATAAACGTTGGTCAGTACCTTGTGTTCGTGATGACGCCCCTCCATCACCACTGATCCGATCCCTTCAATCTCGACACGGGAGCCGTCACCAAAGCGCACAGTACCGCAAACACCTTGATCGAGCTGTGACAGCGTTGATCGTGTTCCGGTCATGTGATTGCTGGCGCCGGTGTCCAGCACCCAAACTCCGTCAGGCACGTCGATGGGGACCACCTTCTCCGTCAGATGCACGATCTGAGTTGGACCGTGCTCAACACCGCACGATGCCAACAGCAGAACGCCACCGTGATCACCGCCGCCGACGGCGATGTTCGCCTCCGCGGCTCCTTCTTCTCCTTTTTAGGCCGCTTGCAATCTTGTTCCCAATGACCGTAGATGCCGCAGTTCTGGCATCGGCCTTTTCTCCGCGGCGTGCCCTCGGAGGTCAATTTGACCTCACCTGAGGCACCGCCTTCAGATCGCGCCACCGCCTTGTTCTTCTTGGAGCCGCCGCCGCCACCGCCACCGCTTCCACCCGGCTTGGCCCCGGGGTGGAAACGATGCTTGTTCTTCTCGAGCCAGTCCTCCTCCGCGAGGAGAAGCCGGCCCACCTTGTCCGTGACCTTGTCCACCTTGTCGTCGAGGCGTTCCTCCGCCGCGCGCAGTCACCCGATGAGTTCCTCGATGGTGAGTGTTTTTAGATCACAAAACATATCGATCGAGACGACCATCTGATTGAACCTCGCGGGGGCCACACGGAGGAACTTCTTGACCACGCGTTCATCGTCGATCGTCTCGCCGAGCGTCTTGAGGTTGCCGACGAGGTTGGTGATCCGCATGCCGAAATCGTCGATGGATTCGCCCTCCTTGAAGGCGATGTTCTCGAACTCCTTCAATAGCTTCTGGGCGTTCACCTCCTTCACTCGATCTGCACCGACCCGCATCGTCCTCACCGCCTCCCATGCCTCCTTCACGGTCTTGTGCCGACCGAGCGACTGCCACATCTCCTTTGGGACAGAGCGCAAGAGCGCGCTCATCGCCTGCCGATCCTGCGCCCGCTTCACATTGTTACCTGGGTCGATCACCCCCCAAATCTCCAATGCTTCGTAGTTGCATTGCATCAGCATCTCCCACTCGGTGTAGTTGTCGCGCGTCAACATTGGCCACATCAAGGAGCTTTCCTTGACGCCGCCGGAGGAGCTCGAGTTTTCGCCCATGGCGTTCGGCGGTGGTTGTCGTCGCAGGATCACGCGCTTCTTCCTCGCAGGCTCTTGAGGGGGACTCACGGATCCACCGTAGTGCATCCACCGGGCTCTGATACCACGTGTTGGCGCCGGAGTGGCTCCGATGCTGGGATCTGGCCGGCACCGGCGAGGTCCGGTGCGCGGTCACCACGGGGAACCGCCGAGAACACACGCGAGAGCACGAGAGTGGACACGAGTTTTTTCACTGCAAATGGCGCAGCTTTGTTTTGATGCATTTCATGTTCATATATGCCCGGCGTGATCCGCATCCCCCGCCACGACGTGCTGCTGCACGGTGCTCCTTATCTTTCGGAACCCGTGCGACAAGCACGGCGAGCCCGTCATGGCGGGACAGGCATGGTGGGCGCGGTCAAAGCGCAGAACGTGCAAGTCTCCGTTCTGCCCCTGATTCTACGCGCGTAATCAAACATGTTTACAACTGAATTACAATCGTGTAAACTATCCTAATGCACCTACATGCTGATACAAATTTTGTTTGACATGATTACAAAGATGCAGTGCAACAGGATCAAGGTGATTAGTTATGAGTATCGCGCTACGGATTGTAGTATGGCACGACACTACGAACCAGAAATGCCGTGGTTAGCACTTGGTACCATTGCAGACAGACATGCAGCCTCGCTCATGGTCATGGACGAGCAAGCTGAATACGAGCCAGAGATCCAGGGGACATCGGGGAACAGATCTGAAACTCTGATTGGAGACCCCCACCCTGGAGAGATCTTGTTCGGTTAATCTCCCCTCTAAAAAAATTATTGGAGGAGCGAAGAGGATTTTATTAACTTGTATCAGAGTTTGTTTGGATACCCTCGTGTCTATCTCAATTTACATGTGTTAACAGAGTGAATTGAGGAATTAACTTACTCCAATTCACCTTAATACAAGTAGGATTAAGATGAATAGGGAAGTACGGAGTATCAAATGAGCCCGGATTCAATCTTTCTCACCGCCAAGCCAAACATGAAGCAGCTTGGTATCACCGAACCGTAAACAGCGGACAGACCGAGAAAACATCAAGTAGTACAGGGAGAGAGAATTGAGAGACCGAAAAAACTACTCGGAACTGGAGTTTTTCTGACGGTTTCAATTTTTTTTTACGGTTATCCAAAATACCGTCAGGATATTTCGAAATACCGCTTCCAGTATGAGAGGAGCTTGGAAGGGGCTGCCTTGAATCTTATCCACTCGATGAAACAAAGAGAAAGATCAGGAACGAGGAAATGAAGCGGGGCTCATCTGCATGCACGTGGTGTTCTGGTGCACACTCAACGTCACAGGTTCACAGCGGCGTTGGTTTTGGAATTGACAGCAACATGTCCTTTTTCTGTGGTGTGATCCACATGGAATAGCTAGCTACTAACTATTTACATACTTTTCCTTTTCTTAAAAGAATTGTTATATATACAGTGTGAGAATTCTCTATTAGAGAAATTTTATTATGGTTGGAAAACAAAGTACCATTAGTGAGGAGAGATTATAGAAAATGCAAATAATGGATCCACATTTTTAGTAGTAGCCCCACCAATTTAGTACTGTGCCTTTGGTACCTCTATTTTTCTAGCCACTTGATCTCTCCTCACCAATGGTCCTCATTTTTTTTCAAGCATAATAAAATTTCTCTATTAATATATAAGCCTTATACGGAGTAGTCATTATTTATTCCCAGAGACTGGGCCCTGTTCGCTTGAGCTTATCAGTCTAGATTATCAGCCCTGAAACAGTGTTTTTCTCTCGTAACAAATCAGCTTCAGCCGACTTATAGCCATAGAAAGTATAGCCGGTTTTGATTTGCACTCACAACCTCTCTCACTTCTCAAAATATTTGAATTTTCTTATCAAATAATTATAAACGTAATAATACTGTATTAATATAGAGATCTTACAATTATGCTACCAATAGTATGTCTAAATTATAGTCTAATACCAATGTTAATATGTGGATAACTAACTGAACTTTTTATGCTTTATGTGTTTTATCCTCCACAGCCTATGTAAGCATATTCAGGAATCCATGATGATATCTATTGTTATGTAAAACACATAGCTCAGCATAATTAAGATTTCAACTAATAACATTCAAACAACAAGGAGGTGTGATGCAAACGGTAAACTGTGAATAGAGAGTTGGAATAAGAGTAAATAATAAAAAAGTTGTTTTAGTTATATATCTATATTAACTTTCCAATAAGACTATAATTTAGAGGCATATATCGATCCCTGTTCGTAGGCGGCGTCCCCTGCTAGTTTATTACTTGCCCCCAGTAATAAACTACCGCTTCAAAGCAGCAGCTGACGCCCTGACCACCACAGGTGTCAGTTGTCATTACGAACCCCAGCACCCGCACGCAGCTCGATGCCCGCAACTGGAAGGCATCGCATGCTCCGTCAGCGTCACCGCTACAATGAGCAGGCCTAGATACCATGCCGAGGCCGCGCGGGCAGGCCTATGCTCCGGCCATGCCTAGCTTTGCCTCGCCGCGCCATTCTCCATGGCGCGTCAGTGCCGCGTCCAGATCGGTGGCGCGGCAGACCCTGCCATTTTACCGGTCAGCGTCCCGGTCGTCGCCACGTCATCCCTCTCGTCGCGCCACCATGCATGGCGCAGCACAGGCGTTTCGCCGCGCCAGGGAAATAGGCGCGGCCAAAAATGTTAGTTTTGAAGAAAAAAATAAACAGTGTTAGATTTAAAATTAGTTTACAAAAAGTGTTAAAAATAAAAAAAAAATCCATTCGGACAGCGTCTATCGTGCCCAACAACTGCTTTGGCCCTTGAGCTATATGTGTTTAATTATTTTAGTTGTCCTCTCAAAAAATATATTTTAGTTGCAGTACTTTTTTGACAGCGAGATGCCAATTCATCGACCGATGCCATAAAGGACGGGTTCATAGGAACAAAGCCATTTCTATATGTCGCCGTCCATAGCCAAATGATAGGGTCCCACGAAAGCAATACAAGTTCTTTCTTCCTATAATGTAGTGGACGCTGTAGTGGGGAACTTCACCGTCCATCGATTGCTTTCGAGGGCCTTTCCTAGAGTGTAGTGGACGCACAATCAGCAATCAGCTCTTACCACTTTTATAGGTCCACAATCCAGTAAGGATACGATATAGGCAAATTCAATAGACAGAAGAGAGAAAATAGAAGTTACCCATATATTCCTGCTTACCATGCTTTGACTGGACTTGATTGTGCGAGGCCAGCATTGGATATCTTCGGTGAAGTTCTTTTTTCCTGCAGCATCATTATCATTTTCATTTATAGGATTCCGTTCCTTAGTATTGATCAGTACCTAACTAGAACAATTGATCTCTGATCGTTGCAGACAGAATGATGGAACCTCTGAATAGCTGTTCGCTGGGTGCCATGGGATCCCTTCTCAGAAAGCTCGATGAGCTACTGCGTACTGAAGAGAGGGCAAAGGGACGCATAGGCGATCTTCGCATCATAAGCACCAAGATGAAGAAGTTATCAGAGGTACACAGCCCTCCCCATACGGTGAAATACTGGATGAATGATGCGCGTGAATTGTCCTACGACATGGAAGTCTGCGTCGACCTGTTCGTCCATGCCAGCCAGCCAGAAGATTTGCCAGCTAAGGTAGCGTGGATTTTGGCCTGGATTAAAGAGATCTTGGGATTTGAGGCTCGCGTGAAGGAGGTTAACGAAAGATGTGAGAGGTACAATCTTGTTAACAGATACGTGCTTCTCAGTAATCCGGCAAAAATTTTAGTGAGCCGTCATCTTCGAACTCAGTACGAAGAACCCGATCCTGTCGGCATGGAAGAAGCAACAAACAAGATTCTTGAGTGGCTGATGCCGAGGGGACATGGTGAGGAAGACCTCAAGCTCAAGGTTGTTTCCGTTCTTGGTGATGAAGGAGCCGGGAAGAGCACGCTTGTCAAAAGAATATGGCGTTTATCTGAAGGGAAGTTCGACTGCCAGGCTTTCGTGCAGACGGCAAAAAAGCCTGATACGAGGATGATTCTCAGAAGCATACTCTCACAAGTTCGCCCGAAGCAGCCACTAAAAGTCTGCAAGGTGCCAAAACTCGTTAGCGATCTAAGGGAACATCTCCAAGATAAGAGGTTCGAAAACTATGCCTAGACAATTAGCTGAATACTTTAAAACTTGTTTCTAACCCTTTTCAGTGCTCCGGGTGCGCACATACCACACTATAGATAGAAAACTCACTCTAACCCAATCTTATTTCAAAGACCAAAAGACAGACATGCCATAGTAGGTAAATACATTTTAAGCTTTTATCTTAATTCTCACTAGATTCACTAGAAAAAAAATCATATAGCTTCTCATAAAAGCAATACATACGATCATCAATTTTGTAGTCCCAATCATCATTTGTTAGCTAGATCCAACTAACTTGAAATTATCCATGTCCTATTATATAAAGACCAAACTCTTACCATTAAATCTAAAATAGCCCTTAAATCTATATTCAAATTCCCCACACATGCTATACTATTGAAATAACATAAAAAAACCCTCTACATCTACTTCTAAGTTATCCACCTCTGTGGTTATGGAAAAAAACAAAGTACCTAAATGCATATCATACTTATGAATCCCTCACTTATACCTTCACTAATATATTAAAAAATTAAGTCAAGGTATACATGCATGTATGGCATAGATCATGTATAGTAATGTTGAGTGTATCAATATTCATGGTTTAACAATTATGAAAGTTGTTTCCTTTATGGGTTACATAAACTACCAGAATCCTGAATTACCTTGAGGGCCAAGAGTTTTCTTAAGTGCCAAGAATTTTCTTAAGGGCCAAGAATCCTGAAATCATTTTTGTAGTAGTATATGCCAATTACAATAATTTGCACGCATGGTAAAATATTTTGTCAACAAACATTGCTTAGTGGTGTCCAAACATGCCATGTTATTTGCCATCATTAAAGTTATAAATCACAATATTTGTGTCACTCAACACTGACCCCAAAGTATACACAATACGATAAGCAATCTTCCCATGCATTGAATTTTCATGGTTATCTAAGTATATATATGTATGTACCCAGTAATATTAAGATGTTGAAAAATATGCAATGAAATTTGAATTAGGAAATTCTAAAGCAGTTCTGACAATTTGACTAAGAATTGCAGACATTCATAACTGAGATTATTAGCACATTTTATGTCTTCAATTTCAAACTTTGACGGCTACAACATTCTATTTTATATGATTGTTGCTATGATGAAGCATGTGACATGTACAGCATTTTGTTACCAGGTATTTTATTGTAATTGATGGCTTATGGGATGTGTCAGTTTGGCACATTATTAAGCGTGCCTTTCCAGCCGGTAACCAAAGAATAATAACAACAACAGCAGTTGAGAACGTCGCCCATGTATGCTGCAGTTATGACAGTAATAGCATTGTCAATGTCAAATGTCTTGGTACTGATCAAGCCAAAAAATTATTCATTGATAGAGCTTTTGGGTCTGAAAAAGGATGTCCACCACAGTTCAATGATTTCACAGATGAGATCACAAGAAAATGTGGTGGTTTTCCCTTAGCCATCATCTGCACTGCTAGACTTGTGGCAAGCCAACCAGAAACAGAACAGGAGCAGCAATTGGATTATGTCACTAAGTTTCTGCCAAACAATTTGAGTACACACTCATCTTCTATGGAGATCCTGAACCAAGTACTGAAACTGTGTTACAGTAGTCTTCCTCATTGTCTGAAGACATGTCTGCTGTATCT